GAGGGCGTTAGATCCCCTGCTACTGTACTTACAGGTGGCTGTGAGCCACTTGACATGGGTGCTGGAATGTGAACTCTGGAAAAGTGGGGCATGCTCTTAACCACTAAGCCATCTCTCCAGCTGACAGATTGCTGGTTTTGAAAGTCACATTGTGTTACTCTTACATTAGTCTATATCATGCTACAGTGCTGACTAGGCTGTATAATAGTACAGTGTAGACCACTACAGACAACTTGTCCCACTCTTAGCAACCTTCCCAAGACTGTGCCCTCCCATTCTGAGTGAAGAAACAAAGAGTTTCAGCAAAACAAGGAGTGAATGCTTGTGTTCTGGATGAGTCTAAGAGAAATATCTTGATGTGTTCTTTGTCAATTTAAATCATGGTTAGACTAACTGGATATTAGATAAGAAGAAAAAGAAGAGGAGGAGGAGGAAGAGGAGGAGGAAGAGGAAAAGGAAGAGGAAGAAGAAGAAAAAGAAGAAGAAGAAGAAGAAGAAGAAGAAGAAGAAGAAGAAGAAGAAGAAGAAGAAGGGGGAAGCCACTAAGTGTCACTACTCTAGAGGCAGTGGGAACCTGGGAGACTAGAACAGATAAATGAAATCTGACATAATAGCAAACTTTATTCAGAGCCTCAGACAATTTATACTCTGAGGGTTAAGAGGAGTCACGTGTGTAAAGTTCCCATGAGTTCAAGCTGTACACTATCACAAGGACAAGCCAGGTGTTTCCATAGAGGACTATAAAGGATAATTTAAATACTGAATTAAGATCAACAAGCCATAATAAGTAATCTGAAGTAAATTTAGTCCTATCCTCTACACCTAGAAGGGGCATGAAAACACATTCCTAGAAAATTCTGTATTTTGAAGAAACTGAGATCACAAGACTCTTGTTTTCTTGGAGTGCTCTTACAAGAAATTAAAATTCTCACCCAATATCATTCCTGGACCATGTCCTGACAACTAAGTAATTTAATGTTTTGCAACAATTGTGATTCCCATTAAAATGTTAACATGTAATTATTTTTAATCAACTCTAAAAAGTGTTTAATTTGAAAAGTATTAGCAAACACAATCCACATAACACAATACTTCAGAATCTTCAATAAGTTTTAGGAATATAAAAGGGTTCTGAGATCACAATGCTTTGTAGACAAGCTCCCAATATATTAGTTAGGGTTTTCTAGAGTCACACAACTTATGGAATGACCGCCTCCCTTGTTTGTGTGTTTGTGTGTGTGTGTGAGAGAGAAGAGGGCGTTCACTGGAATGACTTTAAGGCTGCAGTCCAACTAATCCAACAATGGTTAGGTGTGAACAATGGGTCTAAAACTCTAGTAGTTTCTCAGAGCCACATAGCTGAGTGTCTTAGCTGGTCTTCTCATATGATGGAATCCCAAAGAGGCAGACTCCAACACCAGTGAAGGAATCGATGTGCTAGCAAGACAGGCCAAGCAGGCAAAGAGCAAGAGCTTCCTTCTTCCAATCCCTTCTATAAGCTTCCAGCAGAAAGTGTGGCCCAAATTAAGGGTGCATCTTCCCAACCTCAAGATCAAGAACAAATGTGTGTTTTCCCACCCCAAGAGTCTGGACTAGAAGTAGATTCACCCAGTTCAAACCAAGCAAAAAATATCTCACAGGTGTGCCCTATATTTCTATAGTTCATTCTAGATAATTCATTCAAGTTGACAATCAAGAATAGCCATCACACTTAGCTTTATATTTTTCTTTCAATTAGTTTGTTCTTTGTTTTCTTGATATAGGGTCTCACTACGTATCCACAGCTGGCTTGGAACTCCCATTGTGGAATAGGCTAAACTCTGGTTCCTGAGTGCCGGGATTAAAGACATGGGCCACTGCATTTAGTTTTTCTTTCTTTCTTTCTTTCTTTCTTTCTTTCTTTCTTTCTTTCTTTCTTTCTCTCTCTCTCTCTCTCTTTCTTTCTTTCTTTCTTTCTTCTTTTTTCCACTGCTGTCTCAATGTTTTAATAGTTACAAGCTCTTACATTTAAATCTTTGATATATTTACTCATATATGGTATGGGGTAGGGTGCAGCTGAATTATTTTGGTTGTTAAATTACCAGATGATAAAAGGACTATTGTTTCCCTATTCCATATTCTTGACATTTTGTTAAAAATCAGTTCACCATATACATATGGATTTATTTATGGACTCAATTCTGTCCACTCTTAGGGGAGAATAGTATTTGAGGTCCAGCATCTTGATAGCAGGTGTTCTCATTATTCACTGACGTGCCGCTTCTAGTCCCACTTAGTGGGTTAAGAATTGGAGATATGCAGACTCACTGAAAATTCTCTCAATAGATATACACATGTAATTCCCTTTTAAAGACATCATTTTAACTCTCTATCTCCATCTCACACCATGGGGGGTTAATATTATCTTTCCTTTTTACATATCTGTAAATAGTGTCTCAAGCATGAGAAAAGACTAGCTCAGATTTTCTTCAACACATTTACTTATTTGGTCAATCATTTTACTTAATATAAGAGATCATTGTCTCCTCTTCACTCTCAGGGTACTCACACAGGACAACTGTCACTGGATTGTGTTCTTGCCCTGTTGCTGCAAGGCTAAAACTCTTATACCTTCATGCACTAACTCCAACTACTAGGAACACTGATATACCATCTGTCCATTCCTCCCCCCACATGCCTATTCTACAAATTACAACTCTGATTAGATCACAGAACGAATTTTAAATTGCTGTAACTATCTCATCCTAACACAGGATTTCCCCTTGCACCTTTATAAACTGCCATTTTCAAGCCATGCCTGGTGACACATGCCTGTAATCCTAATACTCAGGGTGGCAGAGGCAGGTGGATCTCCGTGAGTTTTAGGCCAGCCTGGCTTACAAAGTGAGTCTAGGATAACCAATGCCACACAGAGAAGCCCTGTTTCATGAAAAACTAAAACCAAACCAAACCAAACCAAAAGAAACCCTGCCATTTTCCTATGTGTCTATGTGTCTCCTCTCTATCCAGAGGCAGTCCGTTGTCCCTTAGAGGCAAAAACCCCCTCCTCCCTCTCCCTTACTCACTTCCCCTCCTCCCTCATCCTCTATTTCCTGTCTTTATCTCTTATTCCCTTTCTTCTGTCCCTCTGAGGCAAATGAGCCTTTTTGCTGAGAAAGGTCTTGGAGGTCCTCAGACAATTAATTTTCCTTTCTTAAGTGTTGTAAAATTAAATTAAAAAAAAAGCTATTTGGCTTCTGAATGAGTGAACAGGCAAATATTAACACCAAGTAATTAGAACATAAGCACAGTAGCCAGCGAGCAAGTCTGTAATCAGAGCACTCAGGGAGGTAGAGGCCAGCCTGGTCTGCAAAGTGAGCCTAGGACAGCCACGGCTACACAGAAAACTCTGTCTAAAAAAAACAAAAAAACAAAACAAAAAAACAAAAAAAACCACAACTGTCAATAAAAAAAACCCATAAGCACAGCAACTTTCCCTCTGGTGATAGCATATATGCTAAGAAAAGGATCAGGGACTGAGAGACAAAAAAGATTAAAAATCAGCAGTTATTATTAAAGTTTAAGGCCTGAACTAGCTGGGTGAGGTCCAGTAATGCCCTGAGGGGAAGAACCTGCCTTGTTGCATTCTTTCTCCACTCACTAGAGATACACTTGTTAGGAAACTGGCCCATCCCCCTAGAGAGGGACACCAGATCATTAATGGTTTGGGGACCCTCCTATAGTCAATCAATTCAAAATGCAGCATTTTGACCAATAGATGCTTGCTAGGCAGGAATCGCCCCTGCCTTGCTGGTGTAAGACCTGGGGTCTCACAGCTCAGGAGTTCAAGATTGCGCCCTTCCCAGAAACTCCCCAGACCAAGACTCGTTGCAAAAGCAAGAGGTTTATTAACCATTGTACAATGGGGTCACCCCTGCTGGTCAGCAAAGAGTGGCACCAGGAGACAAAAGCCTTTAGGTTTTTAAAAGAAAAATTGCGGGAAATTTGAAGTTGCAGTTTTGGCAATTTAGGATTGGATGAGGAAGCTACAAAGTAAGATGATTGGTTAGTCTTAGGTGCTCAAGCTTGGCCAGTCCTGCCAAGTGTGGATGCAGCTGCAATTGAAGGTGGGGGTGGTTAGCTCATCCTTGAAGATTAGAGGCTGCGGACTTTAGTTTACTCCGGAGAAGTCTGGGTTCGTTGTTAAGAAATGCTATCTCAAAGACAGGAGTTTTTCTTTTTGCTGAGTGAAGGTCATTGCTTGCTTGCCTTTTTTTCTATCTGTCCTCATAGATAGGGTCACATTTTTCCATTCTCTGGAAAGGTACTAAGAGGCTTTAGCTTAACCTGAACCTAAAACTCAAAGCTATAGGCTTTAGAAGACATACAGGTTACAAAGTTAGTCTAACCCTTTCACTGGGAGGGAACAGAATCTTTAAATCACCAACTAACCTGAGCAAGGGCGCTAGGCTCTCACCACTTCTGCGGGGGTGGGGGGGTGTGGGGGGGTGTTGAGCCCAAGCTACAGCTTGTAATTTGTAATAAAAAGATCTTCATGTGGTTTGCAACGGGGTATCACGATTCGGGCACAACAGGACATTGGTAGCCTTCAAGATGCCAGTCGTTTTACTTATGTTACATCAGAATTTAGAGGGAAATTGTGTTGTTCCAGCTAAAACAAGTGACTGGATTGGCATTTGGTACGTTGCAAGCCCCCGATCACCATGGAATGAACTGATGACTTCTCAGTTCACGGAAGTCTTGGCTAAGGGGGCACGGAAAAGACTTGGCTAAGGTCCCTGAAAGTCTTTAGGGACACCACAGGGCGAGGAGGCCCGCGCCCACGTTCAGCCTCTGCAAGTGACTGGTTTAAACCAGTCCAAACCTTTAGCACTTCAGTCAATGAAGAGTAAACCCGGAAGGGATAAGACCCGGAAAAATCAAGGAAACAAGGCTTCAGGCCTCTCCTTTCCCAGGCGGTGCAGGCGGAGCGCCCGTCACGTGACCACGCCCGTCACGTGATCGGGCCGCTGGCCGAGCAGCGTTTCCGCTCGCCGAGCAGCTATGGCGGCGTCGCTGGGCGGTATGTTCTCCGGGCAGCCTCCAGGTCCTCCGCCGCCCCCGCAGGGGCTCCCCGGCCAGCCGTCGCTCCTGCAAGCAGCCCCCGGGGCTCCGAGACCTCCCAGCAGCACCTTGGTGGACGAGTTAGAGTCCTCCTTCGAGGTAAGCCGGGGCGTGGGCGTCCTTGTGCAGCCTCCTCTCGCGGGCGGAAGGCGCGCAGCTCTACTGCTTTCTGGGTCCCGGCGCCCAGTGGTGGTCGGGATCGGAGAACGGAGGCCGCCCGCCTGAGCCCGGGAACCGCCGTGGCCGCCCCCGCAACCGCGACATTTCTGGAGACGGTGGACTTGAAGCCCGCCCAGCTCGCCTCCACCTCGCGGCCCTCTGGACTAGCCGGCTTTTATCTCAGCGGCTCCTGTAGGAGCTGGTCTCTCCGGAGCGTAGCCATTCGGCCGAGCTGCTCTGGGTTTTCAGGTCACACAGTGTACGCTTTTCCTGTTTCCCCCCGCGTTCTAGGTAGACCTTCCACGGGCTCCTGTCACCTGCTAACCCGTTAGCTTTTCTATTGGGTTCCACCCCTTGACGTCTCTGGCTTCGCTTTCTAGTCGTTTGGTAAATGCTGTTTGCTAAGAAAAGTTGAGCTCTTGCTGTGGAGGAAACTTCGGTAGAACATTTAGATTCATACCCTCTTCTTGGTTGCAGAAACACTCAGAAGTAATTGCCCAAAGTCGGCCTTGGGTTTGTTCACGTGAACACGAGTGCTCCCGCCTTCTGCCTTTCCAGGCAAAAGCTGGCCTACTGAAAAACACATTCTTTTACAAAATTAACTCGTATTGCATTTATTTCTTTTATTTGTGTGTATTATTGGAGCGCTTGTGGAGGTCAAGGGGACAACTTGCAGAAGTCAGTTCTCTACACCCACTATGTGAGTGCAAGGGATGGAACTCTGATGGTGGCAAACATCTGTAGCGATTAGCCTTCCCACCGCCCCTAAGATGCTAGGCTTTTTATTGACCGGCATGCATTTTTCCCCCGTCCATAATACAGTCGATAAAGGTCCATGCTTCAAATGTTTTTCAGAATAAGGAAGGCAGGGAGCTGCTGCAGAACTAAGGAAGTTTCTGAAGTTAGGGGGTTTTTTTTGTTTGTTTGTTTTGTTTTGTTTTGTTTTTTTGAGACAGGGTTTCTCTGTGTAGCCCTGGCTGTACTGGAACTCGCTCTGTAGACCCGACTGACCTTGAACTCACAGCCTCTGCCTCCCAAGTGCTGGGATTAAAGGAGTGTGCCACCACTGCCCAGCTTGAAGTTAGGTTGTTTTGACTGCACGGCCCACTGGCTCTGGGGAAGCCATCCAAGACTTGTGGGCTGCACCATTCGTAAGCTGCCCACACTGCAAAACTCCCAACAAGAGTTAACTTTTACAGTCCACACAACAGGTAGTGTGATTTGTTGGGCTGTTGTGGGCCTGGGAAAGCCCGGTGACTGTTTCTATACATCAGATCTGCAGCTGTGCAGGAAGATTTATTGCTTCAGAAGAGAACCTCACATGTAGTTACGACTCGTATTTGGAATCTAAATTTGGTTCTGTGTCTTTGTCTTTTACACAGATGTTTGCTCACTGCTGTTAGGGCCCTTTGTTTTGCCTGTGTTCATCTTTCAGCTGCCATCCATGCTCTTTTTCGCCTTTTTTGTCTTTTCTGAGGCCTGCTTGTGCCTCTGAGGCACAACTTACATGTACAGTTGGTACCCTTTCAGGATTAGCCATGTGACAGTAACCATTTATTACCCAGACACCTCTGTTACTTATTAAATGTCAGGTGGTATTCCAAATACTTAGAATATAGTGCTGAGCCACACAGGCAGACCATTGGCAGAAGACAAATAACTGTGGCTGAAAAGAATGGTAATGTCAGCTACTTATGTGGAACGCATGCCAAGCTCCACGGTAGAGCATGAGTGGGGGGGGGGGGCATCATTTAGAAAGAGTAGGTAGATGACATCTTGAGATGGTGATATATACAGTTCATGTAGGGGTTGGCCAGAGGGGTTGTGATGGGGTTGAAAGGTATCCAGGTGTGGAATAAGACAGTGAGGAAGAGTCAGGTGGTAGCAATGAGACCACGTGATGGGGGCAACAAATACCAGTATCTCAGGTACCATACTAGCGGAGATTTATTTCACCATGTGTTTACACTGGCCCGATGCTTTCTCAGGTACAAACTCAACGTGTCCATTCGTTGAATGGCCTCGGGAGAAGCTGTTTCTTGTTCATAAGCAATAGCTTGATGTGTATATAACATTTTTCCTGTTTTGCTCACACAGGCTTGCTTTGCTTCCCTTGTGAGTCAGGATTATGTCAATGGGACCGATCAGGAAGAAATTCGAACGGGTAAGGTTTCACTCTTTGCACGCTTGTATTTTTGTCTTCAGCAGGTTTCTTCTTGCTGATTTTATATTGCGTCTTTTTAGAACTTTTCCTGGGAGTGATATGTATGCAGATGGTCCCCATGAACTGTTGCCTCTTTGTTCCGTTCAGCTGATATGTTGGCTGAGTCACTAGGAACCGGTTCAGATGAGTCAGTTCTGTGTATTCCCGTCTCCAGTGTCCCATGACTTGACTATATTTCCAATATTCCAATTTTAAATGGAAATTGTGGCCCTACATGCTGAGTGTCTGGATTTTGCTTCTTTGGAAGACTTGACAACTTGTATATTGTGTGAGGTCTCTGACCTGAAAGCGGCATGAGTTACCTGCTGTTTCATGCTGGTTACACATGGGAACTTGTTGCTGTCAACCAGATTAAAATGCTGAATTATATCTGTGAGAAGGTGTTGTTTTAATATTTAAACTATTCATTTAGGTGGGAGGTATATATACATCCTGTGTTTCCCTAAAACTTTTGATCTCTCTTTAAGGTGTTGATCAGTGTATCCAGAAGTTTTTGGACATTGCAAGACAGACAGAATGTTTTTTCTTACAAAAAAGATTGCAGTTGTCTGTCCAGAAACCAGATCAAGTTATCAAAGAGGTACGAATTTGGCTTTACCCCCAACTTTTAGGGAAAACAAGTGTCATTAGGATTTCACTTGTGACTTAACAAGGTGCACCCTTAGGTCAGCGAACTTCTGAAGGTCCCAGTGTTTATGACAGCATGGACACATGGGGGGAGGGGTCATTGGGGAGAGAGTGGAGCTGGAAACAGCTATGCTTAACTCATTTTACGTTGGTTTTCATGGAAAAGTTTTCTTGAAGAGCAGCCTTTGCCTTCTGAGAACAGTTAGAAAACCATCAGTATAGAAAAAAGTTCATTTGAACAAGGTCTCTGACAGTGGCCCTACCTGGCACCTTGTACATAGGAAATGGTTGATTTACTTTGCTTAAGAAATCAAAAAGTAAATATTGTAGCCAGGCATGGTGGTGCTTGTGTTTAATCACAGCTCTCAGGAGGCAGAGGCAGAGGCAGGCAGACGTGTGTAAGTTCAAAGCCATTCTGACCTACATAGCAAGTTTCAGGCCAGTTTACGGCTATGTAATGAAATTATGCATCTCAAACAACAACAAAAACTTAGGTAAAAGGGTTGGGCTAGTCCTATTTGTTTTAAACTGAGCATTTGGAAATGAATTGCCACAAGAACAAGGAAGTTTTAATGGTGTTGAGTAAGGGAGGTAATTCCTGCCACACCAATATAGAAGACCCTGACTTCCTTCCAGCCCCGCAGCCAGTGATAATTCACTGAGAAATTCAAAGCTGAGAGGAACATTTTGGCAGCTTTTGAAATAACAAGTTGACCATGACCAGTTAATCAGAAATTTCAGCCATGAGATCAGCTGTTGAGAACAGGAATAGTAAGAATATATTACAGTCATAAGCTCACTTCTTGACATGAATACTCAAATAATATGTGCAAATAGTTATGTCTACCATATAAAAACTTTGCTTATTTTATATGTCTGAGAGTTTGGCACTCATGTTGGTAATGTGCACCATTTGTATGTAGTGCCCACAGGGGCTAGAAGAGTGCATTGATCATATCCTCTGGAACAGGAATTGTAGGTGGTTGTGAGCTGATTTGGGTGCTGGGAACTGAACCCAGGTCTTCTGTAAGAGCAACCAGTGCTTTTAACCACTGAGCCATCTCTCCAGATCCAAAGTTATTTTTTTTTTCTTTTAAGATTTATTTATTTATTATGTATACAATGTTCTATCTGCATGTGCACCTGCACACCAGAAGAGGGAACCAGATCTCATTATAGATGGTTGTGAGTCACCGTGTGGTTGCTGGGAATTGAGCTCAATACCTCTGGAGGAATAGCCAGTGCTCTTTAACCTCTTATCCATCTCTTTAGCCCCAAAAGCTAAATTTTAATAAGGGATTTACCACCACTGTGCATATTAAGCTTCTGAAAAAGTTGTAATTTTTTAACACTATACTCTGAAGTTGTAAAACAGTAATGTGGATTCCTATAGACAGCTGTTAACATCTGTTTCATATTTTCAGTGTTTGGTCTTTTCAGCAGTGATCTTTTAGATGTTGTGAGGTAATTTTTCATCTTACACTTGTGTTTTTACTTATTAAAAGAAAACTATTAAATACTAAAGTTCTTACTGTTGGGCAAACATCTCTTTTTGCTTTTGTTAGGTAGTGTTGGCACATGCCTTTAATCCCAGCACCCAGAGGCAGAAGCGGGTAGATCTCTGAGTTTGAGGCCAACCCAGTCTACAGAATGAGTTTTAGGACACAGGGAGAAACCCTTTCTTAAAAACAAAACAACAACAACAACAAAAAAAGAGTTGCTTTGGCTGATTTCAAATAGTAGAGCTTAGTAGAGCAATGGGCTTTTAAAGCTTTGGTGGATTCCCTTAGTTTTGAATTTGCTTCTTAGTGTTTTGCTTGTTTGTTTGTTTTTTATTTTTCAATTTTTATTTTCTTGAGACAGGGTCTCACTGAGTTACCCAAGCTGGCCTTGAACTCACTGTGGCCTTAAAATGCGTGATCTTGCCCTAGCCTCCCAAGTAGCTGGGATCAGAGGCCTATGCCATCAGGGTTATTCTTAGTGTTCCTAAGGAAGTACCTCATTAACTCTTGTTTGTTCTGACTGACTTCACACTGTTTTTCCCCCTTATCTCTTTCATCTGTAGGATGTCTCGGAACTGAGGAGTGAATTGCAGCGGAAAGATGCGCTGGTCCAGAAGCACCTGACAAAGCTGAGGCATTGGCAGCAGGTGCTGGAGGACATCAATGTGCAGCACAAAAAGCCAGCCGAAATCCCTCAGGGCTCCTTGGCCTACCTCGAGCAGGCGTCTGCCAACATTCCTGCACCTCTGAAGCAGACCTAAGGGCTCAGGCCTGTGGTGCAGCTCTGCAGTCCTGCTGGACATCTTTTCTTACAGATGTGGCATATCGGAAAAACTGTCCGATAATGAGCTGATGTTAGTTTATGTCTCTACCCATTTTTATGCTTTATTATTTCAGTATGAAGCCTGGGGTGGCCTTGAATCCAGGATCCCCAGCCTCAGCTCCTCTAATACTCTAAATTCATTAGTACTTTATAGAATGCCTGTTGCTTTGAAAAACCAATTATTTTTTGTTTAATATTTTGCAAAGTTTAGACTGTTCAAGTGGTGAACACATTCTTACTTGGCCTTTACCTTTTGTTTTGACAACATTTTGTAGCTTCATCTCTGTATTTTTGTTTTTTGTTTGGTGAAACCTGAAGGGAAATAATTTTTAATGGTTTGAAAAGCCGGGGATATAAGAGTGGGTTTGGTTATCAGCGTTAATCACCATCAGTGGCAGTGCAGACAAGTATGTAACTTTGAACTACCTCAGGAGGAACCTGACAACAGTGCAGTGCTTCCAGGATGGCACAGGTTGAGCATGTTTTATGTTCACACAGTGTGCTGCTAGTGTGGATGTACAGGAGGATGCTTACCTTAATGTTGGATTTTTCTCTGAGCTGAGTTGCGTTTTCTGGGTCCTTGTTCACTTTGCTCTGAAGGCACACATGGCAGGAGCATGGCATGCTGAGTGCTCCCAGGCTGTGCTGTGCTGGTCAATGGAAGGAAGGCACAGGTGAGGTGTGCAGGCCAAAGGCTGGCTTGGATTGTCTCAGTTATTTGCATGTTATTTATATTTTTCAGAGCAGAGTACCTCTTTTTACCCGAAACAAATACTTTGTACCTTTTGAATAGTGCATCCCCAGCTTGGTTTTGGTCTTGTCCATTTTGGTTTATGGAGCCTTGAAGCCCCAGTCACAAACATTGATACCCACTCCCTGGGCATGGCCATCTCTCTGAAGCTTCGGAATGCCCCTTCACTGCATTCCAGTGTACAACCTTTTTTTTCCCCCTAGCTTTCTTAAGTTCTCCATAGGCATTATGAGTAGTGCCTGTGTTACTTGCTCTGTTGTATACCTATGAGAATAGGCATTTCCTTGATTATTCGAGATCTTACTATTTTGTGTGTGTGTGTGTGTGTGTGTGTGTGTGTGTGTGTGCTTGATTGTATATTTAGCACCTGGACAAATTAGAACCAGCCTGAGACCGTCAGGTCCCCTTCTTTAGAATGTACATTGTTGAAGAACTTAGGTTGGCACGGTGGCATGCTTGTAATCCAGCATTTGGGGGGTAGAGGAAGGAGGATTGGAATTTAATGCCATCTTCAGCTACATAGCAAGTTTAAGTCTGTTGTGGGCTGCATGAGATCAGTCCCTCCCAACCTCTGGCAAAAAAGAAATAAAACCTCACTCATTTTATGAAGCACTGATTGTCAGGTTTATGTGTTTTGTTTTTTTGACTTTTGGCCAAAACCTAAATAAGCTGATTACATTTTAGCCATTTTTCAATAATTAAAAGGATAGTGAAAATACTGGAAACTGTTCTTGGTGCTTAGTGAAAATGTTTTAAGTTAGTATATGCACATTGTTATCATTTTTTAATTGATTTCAACAGTTAGGTAAAATACTTTCCCATTTTGTCAGTTTGTAAGCGTGTGTGTGTGTGTGTGTGTGTGTGTGTGTGTGTGTGTGTAGTATATCTGTGAACATGCTTGGGGGAAGGGTACATGTGTATGTTTTTGAAAAGATCAAAGATTCATGTCAGGCAATACCTCTTTTCACATAACTTTGAGACAGACCAAATCTGGGGCTTACTGGTCAAGACTGGCTGGCTTGCAAACTTCCATTATCTTCCTGCCTCTCTTAACTTCCCAGCCCTAGGCTTTTTGTTCCGATATATGATCAGGTCTTCAGCTTTCAGGCAAGTGCTTTATTTACCGAACTGTCTCTCCAGCTGTGTCGTGTTCTCCCTAAGTGGCAGCTTGCTGGCTGTTGAACACAGACATTCTGGGGTGCATGTCTTTCAGGGGTTTCCCTTGGCTTGCTGTTCTCATATGTAAGCCAACCGATTGAAGGAAGTTCCTCCCCTCCCATTTGCTTCAGCTGCCTGCGTGAGTAAGGCCTGCCTCTCCACATTGTATGGATCCCAGGCCAGCTGCTTTCTCTAGGATTAACCACTGTGATGGTTTCTGCCACTTGCACTGTCTGTCCTTGGCTCCTTTCCTGCAGCTCACCCAGAATCCATCTTAAACATTTCTCTTGATCTTCAGCAGCTTCTTATTTGGTCTCCACTCTCCTCCAGCCTTCACAATTGTATCTGTTTATCTTGCAATTGTGCTTGTGATCATTTTTGGCTACAGATCAGATGGAACCTTACTTCCTCATCTTTTGAACCTGACTTAGCTTCTTTATCCAACTACTAACTATGGACCTTCCAGAGTGGCTCCTCGGTAAAGATTCCCAGGCAGTTCTGCTTTCTAAAGCGCTGTTGCATGAAATGCTGTGACGGAAAATAGCATCGGTCGTGCCTGGGTATTAGCCTGCCGAGCATGCTGCAGTCAGGACCACTTCTGGACTGCTCTGACGGGCGGTCTGCTCAGGAGTGTCGGCAGTGTCAGCCACCCTAGCCCGCATTTCCGAACTCTCCTCGCACAGACCAACAGTGTGCAGTAGCTGCCCCTGCAGTGCTTGCCCTGCCCTGCTGCAAACAGGCTCAACAGCAGTCCTCAGAGTTCCCCTGCAGTGATGACAAGGGGGGCAGATCACTTTATAATCCTGTTTGGGCACGTGTACACCACCCAAAACGAAGTCACCATGTCTTCAAAACTACCAAACCTCCTGGATGAAGCCAATGGCTGCACCTTTACCCCTTTGATGGTTACTAGAATCACCTTGTCAGGATCTCAGCTCACTGGGAGACAGCCTTCTTAGCGTGTCTTGGAGTTAGTTTCTTCTAACTCCTTCTAGGGTATGTTGGTTGAGCTGGTACAGCCCACCCTGTCTGTGGGCAGCATCGTTCCATGGGGCTGCCATCCAGCGCTGAATAAAAGGTGAGCTGGGCATCAGGATTTGTTCTCTGCTCCCCATCTGGACACAGTGTGACCAACTGCCTCAGCCCTGTCCCCACGCCTCCCCTGCCATGATTACAGTTCTTGACTTTTTGTCATGCATTTGGTCTCACCAGCAAGAAAATACAGAAGGCAGAAGAGCAGTCTGTTGCTTCTTCAGTAGTTGCTGTGCTGAGAAGATGCCCAGATGAAAAAAACCACAGCCACCTGTAGCCAGTTTCTTAAAGCCCCCAGTAAAACAGTGCTTACTGCTAATTATCAAAAATTAGGACTTAATGAGAAACAGACTGAGCATTTTCCTAATCTAAGAATCCAAATGTTCCCAAATCTGAACATTTCAAATGTTGACGTGACACTAAGTGGAAACCTCTATACTTGATGCATTGAGTAAAAATGTGGGTGCACTAGGCCGAGCTTAAGGTGGATATGGAAATACAAGGGAATGTCATATTTAGACTTGGGTCCCATTCTTAAGATAACTTGTGAATATGCATGAATCTGAAAATTACAAAATCTCACTATTTTTAACCTATTGAGGACTGAACTCAAGGCCTTGCTCAACTGCTGTACACTAAAGCACTTGTGGTTCCAAGTGTTGGGCTAGGGGATTCTTAACCTGTAGTCTTAGGAGGTGATAAAGCAGTGAAAGCTGCAAGCTCATAAGTGAGTGAGATTAGCACCCTTGGAAATGGGCTTACACCAGCTCCACTGCACATGACGTTACATACTGGAGGTTTATGAAGAAGGCCTCACCCTACTTAGCACCTTTATCCTGGTCTCAGCCCACAAGTGGTGGATCTTTGTTGTTTGTAAATTAACCCCACATTAAAAATTATAGTGTAGCAGCCCCACACTGCAGTGTCTTCAGATTATAGTAGACACCTTGAGCTGGAAAGAAAAAGTTGGCACTAACAGATATGCCATTCCAAATATGGTAACATGTTCGCATTGAAAAATGGAAAAAGACCCCGACTGTGAGTTATCAATGTTTCAGAGCTTCACAGTGTGTGGCTCTAGCTGGATATGGCAGTACACTGGGGGAGGGGCTGGAGATGGGGTGATCTCTTGAGTTTGAGATCAGCTCGGTTTATATAGTGAGTTCTGGGCTACACAGTGAGACCCTGTCTTCCAAACAAGCACCAACAAAAATGTGGATTCCTGGGCAGGCAACGTAGCTCCGTGGTAGAGCCGTGGCTTAGCATGCTCAAGGTCCTGGGTTCTACATGCAGTACTCCAAAAAAAAAGGGGGGGGGGGAAGGGGGGTTAAATAATAAGCCTGGCAGTGGTGGCACACACCTTTATTCCCAGCACTTGGGAGGCAGAGGCAGGTGGGTCTCTCTGAGTTCAAGGCCAGCCTGGCTTACAGAGTGAGTTTCAAAATAGCTAAGCCTACAGACTACAAAGAGAAACTGTCTCAAAAAACATGAAACAAAAAGTAAAACAAATGTAATATATTTAGAATTAGAAATTAGAGCCAATGTAAACAAAAATCTATTACAGGGCTGGGAGTGTAGAGCAATGGGTGTAGTATTTCCCTAACCAGGGTAAGACCCTGGACTCAAATCTAACACTGAAAAACAGTCTCATTCGGTTTTATTAACTTGTGAGTTTTAGCTATATTTCTCTAAAAACAATCTAGGTAATTACGTTTTATTTGGAGACAATCTGATTGAGGTTAGTGTGAACTTTGCTTCTGAGCTCAGTCTTCATCTAATTTTACAAGCCACAGCCATTTTAATTGCCCAGTTGTTTAGAATTTTATTCAAAGAGCAAATATTTGACAATGCATAGAATTGACATCGGTAGATGAGCCACTTGCTGGGCCAGCACCAGAGAGAAAAGAGTTTTACCCACTAAAAGCTGAGTCAGATCTGCTCTGTCAGAGGGTACAAGGTGGACAGAGTGCAACTTCAGCACCACGGGCAGTTCCCTGCTCGCCTAGGACTTCCGAGCAGTGCGGAAGCCGTGCATCTGATGCAGGGGACCCAGATGAAAGCACGGGAGTCCAGCAGTCTTTGACATCAGAGGACAGACAGTCTAAAAACCCTCCCGGAAGACTGTTAACACAGTTGTCGCTGAAGCTGAGATGTTTGACAGGTGGATCACAGCTGTTCACTGGGCATTCCAGGTCAGGCTTGATGGCTGCACCTCTAGAATGCTGCTTTAATCTTGCGAAGTCCCTTTTGAGGTAGGTGTTGTCCCTCTGTAGTGTGTGGCAGTGTCAGACCTGGGAAGTTAAAACATGCAATCCAAGCATGCTGCAGTCCATTCCTGGTAGGTTTGGTGGTTTCTGTTTGTTTGTCTTCGTTGGCCTTCCTTTTATATTGAACTTCATTTTATTCCTCTTCATATTGAGGTTAGAAGTGCATTTTGGAAATAACATTATATATACATACATATATATATATATATATATATATATATATATATATATATATATATATAGAAATATACAGCATAACTCTTTGAGGGGAGATGACCAAGAAGAAATGAAAATGCTTTTAAAGCAGATCATGGCAGTCACAAGTCTAATATTTCACCAAGTGGAGTGTGTGACATTACAGGCAATAGAAATACAATGGGTAATTTAGTCATCAGAGATAACGTCATTTTCCTAGGGGTGCTTTTAAATAACTGTCTTGTTTCAGCTTTAACTATAAGACCTGTTCAATCAGCAGGTGTCACAATGAAACTGGAATGTTATTGTCACTTTGTTTTCGCTATCTACCAACATGTAAGTCATTACCAGCTAGTTGGGTGATTTTAATTTATTCCTTCAGATGGTTGAAAATATTTTCCAATGTCCTCCTTGGAACAGATCCCAAAGATCAGCTTAGAATGAAAAGTACTTGGTAAACCATTCCTGATGTGGAGAACCTTGCTTCTGTGAGGCCTCTTTGGGTTGGGCTGCTTCTCCATCTTGTGCCCTAAAATCAAAGGAAATTTTTACATAGTTTTGAAACATTTTTTAGTAAAAACAATACTGTGTCACCTTTCCAGGAGAAGCTAAGTGTTTGTTATCCCTTCAAAAGATACTGGACCATAACCAGCAAGGTTGGCAGCTGGCAAGGAATTGTGAGGGGTGAGCTGGAGGGAGTGTCTACTTCTTATTTCACTACCAATGGCTTCCCATTCTTTTGGTGATTACTTGCTGGTTATTATGCTAATGAATTGTGTAGCATTCATTATCCATTTTAGGCACAAACCAGACAGCTACATTTTAAGAACTTTACAAAAAGGTAGTTTAACACAGTGTTCCAAGAAGAGTCTTCTACAGATTATTACTTGTGAGCATTTTAATGAGGCTATAAATGTGCCTAATAAATCCAAAGAGAGAGCAGGCAATGAAACCGTC